AGAAAAGCTCAATTCAACATGCTAACAACCCTAGCAATACTAACTAATGCATGTTAGAACAAACTTTGACTACAACACGCATTACTCCGATAGCAGCATGCAAACATACTTCGACCTCATGCTTAATTCCTGTCGAACCAGAAGCTACCCTTCGACCATACTAGAGTTTGATCCAACATCTCACAAATATCCACCTTGAATCTAACTCTATAACATTAAGAAACTAGTTTTCTTCATGCAGCTTTATCAACTGCATACAATGGAAGCATGTACATGGCGAATCCTGGAAAGGCGCAATGACAAACATTAAAGTGGATTCTTAGGTACATCAATGGGTCTATGAGCAGAATTATGATTTATGGTGGAGTCTGTGGTGATGATAGCAAAGTCGAAATCGAAGGATTTGTCAAATCTGATTATGCAGGTTGTATGGATTCTAGAAAATCTATTTTTGGATATGTGCTCACTATGTTCGGCACAACAATCAGTTGGAAAACGATACTTCAGAAGGTTGTTGCTTTATCAACTACTGAAGCAGAATATATTGATGTTAGAAGGTTGTGGCTTGAAGGTTTTGCTAAGGAGATGAAACTTCAAGGCCGAATTATCACTGTTAAATGTGATAGTCAAAGTGCAATACACATGTTGAATAATTCAGCCTATCATGAGCGAACAAAGTACATCGATGTGAGACTGCACTTCGTGAGAGAGATAATCAAGTGTGGAAAAGTTCAGGTGCTGAAGGTTTCGACTGATGACAATGTCGCCGATTTGATCTCCAAGACATTGACAAGTAGCAAGTTTTTCCACTGTATACGGTTGATAAAGTTGTATGATTAAAACTAGTTTGTTCCCTTGTTAATGTATAGTTTATTCCAAGGTGGAGATTTGTGGAATTTGGATCGAATTCTAGTGTCGACAAGGATAGTTTCATGGTTCGACAGGAGTTGTGCATGTTGTAGTCAAAGTCTGTTCAAGCATGTTGTCGAAATATGTTAGCTTTGTGTTTAAGTTAGCATGTCGATTTGGGTCTTTCTTGTATGTCCAATTGTTAAGTTAGCTTATAGCCTAAGTTATCTTAATAGTTTATAAATAAACTAGTTCTCTCAGGTTGTTGAGAGAGGTTAAATTGTTGGTATTCACTTGTAATCTTTGAATCGTTATTAAGTAAGTGAATAGTAAAACAATTTTAACTAATTTTTATTCTTCTTCTTCGTTCTTATCTATTTTTTATAAAATTTAATAGGATTTCTTATATTTATTCAAAAAAATTTAATTTTTTCTCATATTTAAATTTGTTCTTAACGACATCAATTTATAATAAAAAAAAATAATTAATTTTTATCTTGCTCCCAACAAATTCATCATCGAATGGTTTTGGTTGTTGTTTTCGTACCATGTTTCCACTAATCAATTTTTGTCTTGCCGCTAACAAATTCATCATCAAATGGTTTTGGTTGTTGTTGTGGTACCATGTTTCCATTTTCCTAAAAAAAAATGTAGAGAGCAACCAATGCAATACTATATTTGATTCCATAAGAAAACTTCTTAGAGCAATTCCATGCATTTTTTTATTTTAATAAATTATTTAGTGGATATCCAAAAAGTGGTGAGAGAGAGTCCCTTCCAAAGTCACACTTCTCTTTATGCACCTATAATTTGATTTTATTATTGTTAATATAATTTTTTCACTTTTGAATCAAAGAGATTCATAATAATATGATTTTTATAACGTTGGAAAATGTGAGAAGCCTAATAGTAATAATATGTAGAAACAAATGAGATTAGTTAAATGAGATAAGAAATTCCATCACTTCAAGAAACACTGAATTTTATACATAGACATCACGGATAACCAATTAGGGTATACTTTAATTTCATTACCAAATAACTATGGCGTGAGGGTTATGTGTCTTATTCTATTAAGACACAAAATCTATGGGGCCATGAGAGGAATCTATCTAACCATAACCTATAATATTCCTCCTAGCATTCCAAAAATAATACTCTAATTACAATCTTTTCATGACTAGTTAGTGTAATAAATAATTTTGTGATGTTTGGAAAGTATCTCTTGCCTGCTTAGAAGTATGCATTATAAGATCCTATATGTTTTGTTGTCTCTTAATTAATAAATTATATACTTCTAAAGACACATTTATAGAAATCATCCACTTTTTTAAATTAATTAATTTTGTATAAGCTTCTTGTTTAATATATATGCCCTAACTTTTTTTTGAAGTTGTTTGTAATTCACCTTTAAAATATAAATTAATAAAATGTTATTGGTTCGAATACATAATTCTGATTCTAACCCTAATTTTATTGTTTAGGGCGGAAAAAAAACTTTACCTCATATCCGACATGTAATATCTTAACCCACTTTCATACATAAAATATCTAATATATATAAAAAAAAATTGTATGATTTAAATTCATTTTCGTTCATTTTTATTTTTTGAAAGACAAATATATTCTTTCATGGATTTAGACGTTGAAATACTAATCTTACGTATTAGATTTTTTTCTATTGAATCGAAAGCATAGATTCACCCAGCAAAGTATTGTTTTATTATTTTACTGGACATTTCTAATTTGAACCGTTACTATATTACATTTGTGTCAATGATATTTTATATATATATATATATATATATATATATATATATATATATATATATATATATATATATATATATATATATATATATATATATATATATATATATATATATATATATATATATATATATATATATATATATATATATATATATATATATATATATATATATAATTTGAAGAAAAAAAATGAAATGGGACATAGACATTGGGAAGGATGGGAGAGCAGAGATTCCAGTTCCTTTAATTGAAGAAAGGGATGGGGCATCCTTTCAATATCAACATCTGTTCCTTGACCAAAAGACTATTATGCCATTCTTTGATTTCTTTTTCTCCCATACCAAACTTGTTAATTACCAAAATCTTTATTTTCTTTTTTTCTCTCTGAAAAAGAACAAAATATCAATATATTATGTCCACTAGATGGCATCAACACCTTTGAATAAAATCCAAACCTCATTCAATTGTTTTGTAGCCCCCAACACCACTTTCCTTTTGCTTACATCACTCTTTTCAGAGTACGCTGTCCACTGTCTCCAACTCTCTACTACATCTTTCTTTGTACATTGTACACTACATTATGTTTTTTTTAATAGTCAAATAACAAAATTATCGTCGCACCATCTTTAAAAGCGTGCAAAATAGACTATTACACAGATCTCCAAAAACTTGAGACGGACATTTATTTATATTACCTTTCTCACACTCAGACTCACATTAACAATAACATAGGAAGACTGAAGAGACACACACAGAAACAAAAGTAATGTTAATGTTGTGGTACAAAACATTACACACAGGAAGAATCCGTTTAGGAAAGCATGGAGATAGCAATGTGTGTCACTATCAAGAAATGAAAGCAATAAATGGTGAAGTAATTAGGTAATCTAAATCATTAATATCTGAAAAGAGAATCATGAGTTTCTTCATATATATAAAAAATAATAATAATGAATGGTCAAACGTATCGTTGATGATATGAAGAAACAGCATGATGAGCTGACAACAAGCTTTTCTGGTGTGTCAGATTAGAAATCAAAGTAATGACTTCTTCTTTTAGTCATTATGTAACTTACAGAGATGATAATCTAACAGGTGCAAAGAAAGGGAGAGCTGATAACAACTATTATCAGATTTCATTCATATTTTCATCAATATAGCTACATTTTCTTCTTCAACTTTCTTTTCAATCTTTCATCATCACATTATTTCATTTGGAAATATTTTAGTAATATATATATATATATATATATATATATATATATATATATATATATATATATATATATATATATATATATATATATATATATATATATATATATATATTATTTGGAAGTAGGTTCTGTGATGCAATAGTGGATGAAACAGTAATTTGATGTTGATATTTCGTTTTTACTAAGGGATTTATTCTGGCAGTGGCACTATTACCTAGTCCTACTGGTACCAGAGATCAGAAGAAGAAAAATGTATAGTGTATAGATACATAAAATATATGTATATATAATAAGATGGTAAAATAATTAAAATTTATTAGGTGTAATTTTGTATGTGGTGGAATTGAAATGAATGGTTGTGTGTGGTTTGTAGGAATCATGAGAAGGTTGCTGATACCTTAAGAAGATGTCAGGAAATTACAGAACGGTATGGAGAAAAAGAAATTAATTCAAAATTTAAAAAAAATAAATGGTATATAGTATAAGATGCTGCTTCTGCAGAAGCATAGTATATAATATAGATCTAGGTAAGAATTAAGATAAGAGTGTGTGTGTGATCAAATCAAAGACATGTTGTTTCAACTTTAAGCCACATATAATAAACTATAGTTTATATATGTGAATAATATTGTTGTTGATTGAAGATGATTCATGAATTTGGGGTGAGGTTTGGTTGTGTTCAATTATAATATTGAAAAATGAGGCTTGTTTTTTAAGGTGGTGGGTCCTATGACAAAAGGGGTTGCTTTTTTTTTTTTCTATCAGATTCATTAAATCGACTAATCTGATTCGGAGTTATTTTTCAATCACAGTTGCAAAGAATCGAACCCTAATTCTTCTATTAAATATAATGCGAGTCAGTGGTAGACCGACTATCGACTATGAGTCTTGTTTCTTAAGGTGGTGGGTCCTATAATAAAAAAATGTATATAAAAACAATATATGATTATAATTTATTACACCTCTTTCCCCACTCACCTAAATGTGTGTGGAGGGTATAAAATATAAATGTGAGATTTCCATGTTGGTGTGTGCTTATATAAAGGAGGAGATAGGATGTTGAAGTTCCCTACTATTATTGAAGATACCTATAGCTAAAGGTTTTCAAGAGAAGAATAGCATCTATAGTTTCTATAATTGTGAGTGTTTTTATTTTTTTATATGGAAGAACATCATCTTACTCCATTAGCTGTTACTCATCTTCTTCAACACACTCTAAGAAGTTTGTGCATCCATGATAATTCTCAATGGGTTTATGCTGTTTTCTGGAGGATCTTACCTAGAAACTACCCTCCTCCCAAGTAAGAAACAATTTTCGAGCAAACGTAATCGTAACAAGTATTATCAGATACTATACATATATAGATATACTCCATCTGAAATGAAATATAAGCATTTGATTTGATGTTTATATTTCGATCAGAGGGAGTATATAGATACTTATAGGTCTAATAGAAGTGATTTTTTTTGTTTTATATTTTGGAATATATAGGTGGGAAGGACAAGGGGCTTATGATAGATCAAGAGGAAATAGAAGGAATTGGTAATGATATTTTTTTTATATTTTTGGTCATAATGTACTTGGTAATGAAACATATGTGTTGATGTTTGTTATGCATGCACAGGATATTGGTTTGGGAAGATGGATTCTGCAACTTTGCAGCATCAGCAGCAGCACCTGAAATAAACTCTGCCGGTGATTGTCCTAACTCGTCGTCATCAGTTTACGGGAACTGCGAATTAATTCAGCCTTACCAAGGTCTTCAACCTGAGCTTTTCTTCAAGATGTCACACGAGATCTATAACTATGGTGAAGGGTATGTTATGTTATGTGTTTTAATAGCATTCATCAATTGCTTTTTCTCCAGAAAATTCGAAGAAAATCGGCTTAAATGCTTAATTAGTTAGATTTTATGCAATTTTATGCGATTTTATGCAATTTTATGCGATTTTATGAGACTTTATGCAACAGATTGATTGGAAAAGTAGCTGCAGATCATAGTCATAAATGGATATACAAAGAACCTAATGATCAAGAAATTAATTTCTTGTCAGCATGGCATAATTCAGCAGACTCAGTGAGTAAAAATGAAACTAATATTGTATCTTGCATTTTTGTTTTAGGTTAACAAAGTAAACATTAATAGTTAAATTTGATTATATTATTATAATCTATAGTTAATGATTTTTTATCAAAAATGTGTTGAAAGTGAGTGATTTCTTTTACAGCATCCTAGGACTTGGGAAGCTCAATTCTTGTCTGGTATAAAGGTATGTGTATGAAATTCATACTAAGATTATCTTTTTTTTTTTCTATATTTGATTCAATTAATTATAAACTATATATATATATATATATTTTGCAGACCATAGCCCTCATTGCTGTTAGAGAAGGTGTTGTTCAATTAGGAGCTGTTCACAAGGTTTCATATACATCTCTCTCTCTCTCTCTCTCCATCCTTTGCTTTCTCTCTCAACTTTTAGTGAGAATAAGTCACATTATGATATATATATACGCAATACTTCAGATAAACGTAGCACCGACACTTAAAATTAAACACGTGACTTATACGATCTGTGTTTGACACTAATCTGATAAAGACACGCGTAATTACACTCAATTATATTATTTTCTCAAGTAATTATAGGATTGTCTCATCGTGTAGGTGTCAGTCCTTCATAATTATATCAAAAAACTATAAGGACGCAGATTAGTCAGAGTCAGACAAAAATATCATCATAAAACATTACACACGAACGCACTTAACGCAAGAAAACTATTACAGAATTATACTCGATAAACTCATATTTCATTCTTTTTATGAAATTCAAGGTGATTGAAGATTTGAGCTATGTGGTTCTACTAAGAAAAAAATTCAGCTACATAGAAAGCATACCAGGAGTACTTCTCCCACACCCTTCATCATCTGCATACCCATATGGCGTTCCAACAGACCAATGGCATAATTTCCAAGGAAGCATTGCAGTTGCACCACAACATCAACAACAACATGGTGATCAACTATATGACCATTTCATGAACAACAACAACAACAACTTGCCAATGAAAGTAACTCCATCAATGAGTAGTCTTGAAGCATTACTCTCAAAGTTACCTTCAGTTGTTCCACCACAACATCAACAAACACAAACACAACATGTTCTAGCACCATTGGAATTCATGGGAGGAATGCAGAAAGTTGCAAAACAAGAGTTAGATGAAGAAGAACAAGAAGAGGTTTATAGACCTGAACAGCTTGATGTTGGTGAGAGTAGTAGTTCTATGTCAGGATATCATCATCATCAACAGCATCAACATCATTTTCATCAAAATATAAATAAAGGATCCAACAATATTAATGGATATAATTAAGTCTAAGTTCTCCTAACATATTATTATTAGTTTAAGGTATGATATAATTTGAATAATAATAATAATTAGTATTATTATGAATTTGAGTATGTTGTTGGTAGTGTATGAAGAGAATCAATTCCATGCATGGTGTGAAATAGATTGAGACAGTGTGTATATGTAGCTACGTAGTCATATATATATTTACACTGCGAATCTATCACATAATATTGCACTTTTGGATCAACCTAATGTCTAAGGATGGAATGTATAATAATACCCAATAATTATTAATTATTGTTTAATATATTATGTACATTTCTTCTTATTTTTATATTTTTGTTTCAGAAAAAAATATTTAATTATAATTATAATTATAGTCAAAGTTACGTGTATATGAATGATTATTATTTGTTCTATGTTCTAATAATAATTTCTTTCAAGTATTGTCAGCATTTGTTCTCCCTGACACCAATTTCTCACTTTGATTAATAAGTAACTGGTTGAGTTGGCAATGGAAGAGTTTCTCTCATTCAAAGGTTATATATAGTATTTTCTTGACAAATATTGTGTCATAGGCTAACTGTTAAGTTGAAGTTATTCAAGTGGAGGGTAATAGGGGATGAGGTTGCAACATCTTGTGTTTTTTGAGCAGTTTTGTTGGGGTGTGAGGTTCATTTATTTGCCAGCTACTTGTGTGTTTTCTATCTTTATGTGGTTTGAAGATAGTTGGGAGTGGTGATGGATAGAGGTTAAGCCATTTTTCTTGTGGTTTTCATCTTTGGCATCTTCATTGTTTTGGGGAATGTATAGAGTCTAAGGAATGTATGCAAATTTTTAGGATTGATATTAGAGAGGCCAACTCTCATAGGAAATATTAAGGTGTTTAGTTGGAGATGATTAATAGTTAGGATTAGGGATAGAGTGATGTGCAAAGTCTTTTATTATTTTTGGGAATAGAAAGGAGATTGATTTATAGACTAGCAATCGATAATCAATATGGATATAAAACTAAAGATTTACATTTAGTATTATGAATGGATATTTAATTAATGTCAATTTAATTATTCAAGACGTCAATTAATATATTCATAGAGATTTATTCATTTTGACTCCTCAAATTTTTATATTTTAAAGATTAATTTTTTATGAACTCATTTGAATATGATCTATAAATAATGATTAATCTTATAATGATGCCTATACCTGTATCACTAAGGATCACATTAAATTTTTCTGGACAAAATTTATTCGCATCCCTACATATCTCATGCTAAATTTTTTGTGACTTGAAAGATGATGCATAATGTTATATTGCAATAGAACACAATCTAATTCAAAGGGTAATGCATCTGATTTCGAGGTGCTCTCTCTATATTCATGATGTGAAAATTGGAGGTCACTTAATTCTTAGATGCAGATACATCTTACTTTTTTTTTGCAATAGGTGAAGCAATTGTTTGACATGAACATTGATAGAACTAATTATGAAATTTTATTCAAACTTGCTAATAGAAGCTAGAGCTCTCAAATTCATAATCTGATCATGTCTCTCATCATAATAATACTTTGGTTGACGCACAAGAAACGTGTGAGATATTGGATCAAACTCTAGTATGGTCTAAGGATAGCTTCTGGTTCGACAGGAATTAAACATGAGGTCGAAGTTTGTTCGCATGCTGTTGCCGGAGTAATGGGTGTTGTAGTCGAAGTTTGTTCTAACATGCATTAGTCAATATTGTTAGGTTTGTTAGCATGTTGAATTGGATCTTGCTTATAAGTCCAATTGTTTAAGTTAGCTTGTACCCTAAGTTAGCTTGTAATGGATAATTGTTAAAAAGCCCATTAGATTAGTGTGTTATTTTCTTTATAAATAGCATGCTAGTCTCTCATCTTGTCAATAAGGAAAAATAGAAAGATAAAATCCTAATTTCAAGAGAGAGCGAGAGAGAGGTTATTTTGTTATTCTTGTATATTTGTAATCTTAATTCTAAGAGAAAGGAAAGAATAACAGCTTATAACCAATCCTTGTTGTTACTTGTTGTTTTACCTTGTTTTCTTTGTTAACCCTAACCCTTGTGTGTTTCTTGATCATAAAAAAAATCGTTTATATTTTGTTTCAAGACATCTGATTCACAACAAAACGACATTGAGTTTTAAAATGGTAAAATTGACTTTAATAGAGACATTCTTCATGTTAAACAATTGGTTTATATGACATCTACTTCTTTCAAAGAGCGTGTGTATTCTTCAATTCATGAGTTTGCAATTATTACATATTTTGACATCAAATATTGACATCTACATACAAGTTAATTAGTGTTTTCCTATTCATAACTGAATTAAGTGCAACATATATGAAGTTTCAAGAGAAAATCTAGGAATATCAACTTGTGGTAGCATATTCATGAATAATTTAAGAGCATTCTCTAGAGTTTTCTCATTTAATATTGGAGTTAGAACCTTCTTTCAAGCTGAATTGTATGAAATCATGTTTGGTATCGAATATGCTAATAAGAGGAATTGAAGAAAAAAATTGGTTTGAAACTGACTCAATGTTAGTCATTTGTGCATTTTCTAATGTGAACATTATCCATTGACATCTTTTATTTAAATGGAAGAATACATTACACAAAATATGTTCCTTTATATTTAAGATATCTCATATTTTTAGAGAGAAAAATGCATGTGTAAATAGATTAGTCAATGCATTTTTTTTATTATGACACTTTGTAAGGTTCATGTTCTATCTGTGCTTTTGAAAGTCTTTTGAGGAATAAGTTAGGTATGGTCAACTATTGCTTTTGCTAGTTATTGATGGGTTAGGTTTTATGTCCCTCATACTTTGGTTTTTTTCTTTTTATTCAATAATTTTTCTTTATTATAAATAAAAAATCATTTACTTTTTTTTCTCTTTTAGATTCTTTTTTTTTCCCGTATTTTCTTTGATTTTCTATATGAGTTAGGAACCACATGTGCTCTATTGATCCATTGTTTTTGTTTGAAGTTACCTTTGTTGATAAACTTTTGTGGTTTTGAAAAATCTCTTATAAAAAATCACTATTACTTTTTTATTGAACATTCTTTCTGTTTTTAAAATATTCTTAATTATTTAGGGTTGTCTCTTCCAAATTTCATCTTCAACGTTGTTGTTGCATTCGTCTATGTGGAATTTCTCTTCTTGGTTTTGCATTTGTCTTTCTGATGTTATTTTTTATTATATTTCTTACTTGTTATATAGCTATGTGTTTTTTGTGTTAAAATAGGATGCCTACCTCTTTGCGATAGCATCCCTTTTGCCCCTTCCCTTTAGCGTTTCTTTCTACTATTAAGATCTTTCTAATGGGAAGCTTAGGATTTGCAAGTGTACAAAAAATGAGTATCCATGGGTTTCGTCATAGTATTTAAACTCGTTTTTTTTGGACATGTATATATGGATGATGATGCCTACATTTCCCCTTGGTGTGGTGTTGTATCCACTGAATTGGAACTTCTAAGGGACGACATTCACGTGGTATATCTTGGGTCACATTTTGTTTACTCTAACACTAAATTCTGAAACTATTCAACTCTCAAATGTAATTTGGGAATCTAACATAGTTCGTCGTTGATTTCCTCGATGTTGAAGACTATGTGTTGGCCAGTACCCTAGTTGCTATTTTTGGATATATTATACCTCCTTTTGCAAATATGGGCTTTAGATTCCTTTCACCGCATTCGAATTTCATTTGATAGTGAGCCTGTGGCTAGCTATTTCCCATATTTACCCTCATTCTTGGGCTTATATTATTAGAGGTTTCTAACCTTTAGGTATTTCCCAAGGTGAAACTCTGGTTTTCTGTCTTTTGCATTATGCTTCACCTATGCTGTGAGTTCTCTAGGCACACCTAAGGTTTAGTAATCTTCGGTCGAATTTTTTCAATCTTCAAAATCTTAATGTGTTCGCCTATTTGTTTTTGTTGCCAATTTATGCTTATATGTTCTCTTACAAAGGCTTCTAATAAGACAATGCGTGTTACCAATACTATGTGCATGTAGTGTTTTAAACGATGTTGGTTCAATGATCACTTCAAAGTATGTGAAAAAGATCTGCAAGTAATGCTTGGGAATTTGAAAAGTGGTGATACACGATCTTTTAGAAAAATCTATGTTTTTTTATTATATTTCTTACTTGTCATGTAGTTATGTGTTTTTTTGTGTTAATATGGGGTGCCTACCTCTTTGCAATAGCATCCCCTTTGCCCTCTTCCCTTTAGCGTTTTGTTCTTGCTAATGGGAAGCTTAGGCTTTTCTAGTATATAAAAAATGAGAATCAATGGGTTTCGTCATAGTACTTAAACCCCTTTCTTTGTGGACATGTATATATGGATGATGATGCCTACATTTCTCCTTGGTGTGGTGTTATATCCATTGAATTGGAACTTCTAAGGGACGAAATTCACGAGGTATATCTTGGGTCACTTGTTGTTTACTCTAACACGAAATTCTAAAACTATTCAACTCGCGAATGTAATTTGGAAATTCAACATAGTTGGTCGTTGATTTCCCCGATGTTAAAGACTATGTGTTGTGCGGTACCCTAGTTTCTATTTTTGCATATATTGTACCTCCGTTTGCAAATATGGGCTTCAGATTTCTTTCACTGCATTCAAATGTCATTTGATGGTGAGCCCGTGACTAGTTATTTCCCATATTTACCCTCATTTTGGGGCTTATATTAGTTAGAGATTTCCAACCTTTAGGTATTTCCCAAGGTGAAACTCTGGTTTTTTGTTGCATTATGTTTCATCTACGCTGATAATTCTCAAGGCACGCATAAAGTTTAGTCTTCTTAGATTGATTTTTTCCAATCCTCAAAATCTTAATGTGTTCTCCTATTTGATTTTGTTGCCAATGTATGATGATATGTTCTCTTACAGAGGCTTCTAATAAGACGATGTGTGTTACCGTTATTATGTGCAGGTCGTGTTTTAAATGACGTTGGTCCAATGACCACTTCAAAGTATGTGTAAAAGATCTGC